TTTTTTTGACCGTTACTTCCAAATAGCAGACGGATTTTTCTCAGCTCCAGGTGAACGGATTTCCCAAAGTAAATATACGAATCGACAGCTCTTTTCCCGCGCTACAAGATGCCGACCACACCGAGCCCATGCGATACCCTCGTCCCGACTTATAAGGGTTTTAAAATGACATTGGAAATTTCGAAAATGAGCGAAATTGAGACGGGTGTGACTCCCTCAAAACGTATTCAAATGTCAAAAGTGACATGCTCATTGGAAAGTCCATCCAATTCTCTACAATTTCAAAGGGAAAAACGTCCGATTCGGTAGATTTTCTGAAAAGTTACGGACCTCCAAAAAAAGAAGAAGAAGTTCTTAGATGGCTCTATTATTTTTAACCGCCTTTGTATGTATGATTTACATGTTTTGAATGATACGCGGTCTATCAGTCTGAATATTTCAAGCTTGATTCAGCGCGGGATCTCCGCTATAAGAGCCCGATTCCTCGCGTCGAGTTCTCGTGGCCATGGGACTCCAAGTTGAATCTGATCTTCTTCCTGCCCAGGGAAGACCCAGTCGGCTCGGAAGGCCGTAATGAGGGAGCTCGGATCGAGATTTCAATCAAAACAGAGGAACCAGCATGGATGTCCGCGTGAGAATATGCTCTCGGTGGAAAGATCTCGATGTTTCGGACCGAGCAGAGGAGCGGATTCGTCTGTCACGATCTCATGTTCGTAATAGCCAATATATATTATAATCTTCGTCGTCGACGGAACGCCACGAGACGGCATGAATAATCCATTGATTCCGAGATTTTCGATGGCTGTCCAAGCACAGCCTAAAAGTTAGCATCCGAGATTCGTGTCGAAGCGAAAGTCTACCGCTGTCGTTCGAAGGCACGCGTGCTTCAACATGGGTAGTTGTCCACTCAGCAAAATCGTCGGATGGCGCTTCGCCTACCAGGATACACGCGATTGGTTTCGATTCGTAAAACGATCGATTGGCAAAGCTCCTAATATGTGCTTTGCAAACCGAGAAACTTCTATCGGGCGTTTACCAAAGTAAATACACCCGTATAATGACGGGCCCGAAGCTTTGAGGAGAGACACCCTTGACGACCTTGGAGAGCTCGGAGCCGCTTTCGCAATGCAAAATACTCCTTCACGGAGCGAGCGAAGATCTCGGAATTCAAGACTTTGCCGGTCAACCCTCGGCGGCTCCGACGATGCATCGGGCTGCTTCACCGGCTTTCGACTTCTTTCGTGACCGCCATCTCATTTCTGCTCCTCTGTCCAGGATCCGCTGACACCTCTAGCGTCTACACTCATTTTACGGAGGTCCCGCATTCCACCCTTATGGGCAGTTCAGAGCTTTGGGGGGAATGGACGAAGGATCGACAGAGGAACAGTACCTCTGAAGAAGAGTGGGCGATTTATTTCGATGGACAATGAAAAAGAAACCCTCCCGCCCTGGAATCAGGAGGAATCCGAGCAAAAGCCTGCCTCAATGTTCGCGCTAGAATTTGACCTCTGGCACGAAGCTCCTCTGGACAGCCCCAGTGGGCTATTCCGGTGCTCCTATCTAGCGCAGCCTTGGAACTGTTGCCCTTGTCCCGATTTCGGTCGCTGCCCACAGCTATTTAGTCGGAGGACAGAAACAAAAAGGCTATCTTGTGAATACATTTCGCGGTTGGAGGCGTCCGATTCCACACCAATCTCATATACTTAGACGAACGATGTTTAATTCGATGGCCTCCGGCGCTTCCAACGATACGACACCTTACGCCGTACATATGGTTTTCATTCGGCATCAATCAGAGCACCTGGGGCTCATGACGACTGACCGAGCTGGAAGGGCCTGATTGAGGCGTTCCTATGAATAGTCTTGTCATTCAAACCTATTTCTGTCAACCTTGACGGTATCGATCAGTCGAGGGCTCGTGAGACTACGACGGCTATCTAGAATCTCTGGGATAGGAATGAAACGGCTCGATCGCGATCAGCTGCGAAGCGGCAGCTCGCCGCGGCCTGGATTGATTTCCATTTTTGTAGGGGGAGCTCGGGAGGGTGTACCTCTATACTCCGCAGTTTCGTAAGATTGCCGCTGGTTTATGTATAATTTTCGAGGAACTCCCCGTGAGCCTGAGGGTTTTTCCGTTCATTTCGGCATTTTCTCCGTTCGTAGATTGAGACGTCTCGTAGCGACTCCGATTGCTTCCGTTCTCTTTTCTCGACTCCACGTCAAATGATTGGCTGTCCCGTACTTTGAGGGCCGCGGGGGGAGGATTCACTGCATGGAGTCTGGACGCTTGTAAACCTGAGGGCATCTGCTTTGATGCATTTTTTCGGTGAAGGTGACTGCCGACTGGATTTCTGCGAGCCTGCGCTTCGTCTTATGCACAGTATGAATGTTTTCCTCGGACCCATTAAGTCAAGGGTCGCGGGAGGAACTCCTCAGACCATACTAGGGGACCCGGGCCTTATTCCTGGAGACATCACAACGGCGAGAAGTGACGCTTCGAATGATAGGATGAGGAACGGTCTCTACCTGTTGGAGCTGCTGCATATTGCTGCACTTGGGACGTGGCGGAAAAACCGAAAGCCTCATTTTGACTCGAGCTCGATAATTTTATTCCGATGCATTGGGGGTCTCGGGAAGATGTCCGGTGAGGAGAAAATTTTGAAATCCTCTGGAGTCTCTGCGCGACGGAAAGTCTGCGGACTCCTATACACGCTGCAATAGACGCGTCGAAGGATATCTCGGAACCGCGAATGAACTCACCACATCTGCAGGAACAGTTCTTCATCCAGTTCGGTCGTCGGCGACCAACGACCTGCCAAGCATTTGAACGCGCCTGTTGCGTTGCTTCTTCGGCAGTCACCGTCATGTCTCGTCCGGTAAAGGTAATCCTTTGAGGTGTCTCGGAGTATCCAGATATTCACTAACGAGCGGGATCCACTGAGCACTCCGACGCTTTTACCCCGAGCCGCTATGCAATGCGCGGATTCCCTCAGTGGGCAGGGAGCCAAATATCGGATACAGTGGCACACTTATGAAGTACACTAAATCCGAGGCAGGTTTTCGGAGTCCTTGCCCGCGCACTCGAGAGAAAGGGCGCCATGGGCAAGGGTGAGAACCCCCGCAAGGACCTCGGACCCCTCGGAATCCCCTAGTTGCCACACAGTATGCCTCGACCCTTTCCCCGAGATCTCGCTCTGAATCCGCTCATTCTGTTCGAGGATGAGATCGGGGAGCTCCGATTGTTGATTCCGAGAATTGCGGCTTCTGTCAGGAGACATGTGGAATTACCGAGTTCGCCGATAATTCATTCATGATATCATTCCGAAATGTGGAAGAGCTTGGTCGGCGCCGTGATCAACGCCAGAATCAATATCCGAAGTCGGTGGATATATGTCGCACCTTAATCCCTATAGAAATAGCCTCAGGTACGATGCCGGAGGACCTGGCACCAGGAAAGATTTTGAGGTTGGCTAAATTCTGAGGAGCATGCAGGGAGCGGCCGCGTGATTTGAGACTTTTTTTTACGAGAATCACGACGCCGCGCTCTGTTCAATAATACAGCTTTCTCCAGAACTGTCGTTCGTAGGACGAATAGTCTGGTCGCCACATCTCTCAATAAGTTCAATCGGTCGAACAATATGGACTTCTCAGCTTTCGGAACCGATTCTTGAGACAATCTATCTCAACCAAAACAACAGAACTCGCGCTTACGATCGTCGCTAATTCAAATTCACAGAGAGAGAGATCCCTGCGAGC